GGTTGTCAATCAATTATGCTCACTCCAGCAGGAGATCTGATGCATCTAGAAGGGTTCAGGAATCTGGAGAAGGCACTGTGGTGTAAATTAATAAAGAGACTATAAATATAATATAAATTTGTAATCCATGGGGGAATCAGAGGAGCACTTGGCTTCAGTAACCAAGTTCTCTGAATCTCCAAACCCCTTGTTCTTTATTAACACAAATTGCCCTAAGGCAAAGTAAATATACATATCAAAAGATAAGGTTTAGTATACAGTAGGCATTGTTAATTTGGGGGAACTGCCTTCCACTGTTCAGGTGTTTAGCCAGCAGGAGGCAATAACATGTACATTAAAATGCCCTCAGCTGTCTGGTAGCAGGCAATAATATATGCAAATCTTTAGGTGTGGGGAAATGCCCTTAGCTATTCCAGCAGCAGATAATATGTAATATTTATGACATGCTAGAATTAGCTTCCCACAATCTGAATTTTATATATATATATTTAAATATATTTTATTGATTTTTTTACAGAGAGGAAGGGAGAGGGATAGAAAGCCAGAAACATCAATGAGAGAGAATCATCGATCAGCTGCCTCCTGCACACACCCCACCGGGGATGTGCCCGCAACCAAGATACATGCCCTTCACCAGAATTGAACCTGGGACCCTTCAGTCCGCAGGCCGACGCTCTATTCACTGAGCCAAACCGGTTTCAGCCTGAATGATATATTTTGATGGCCACCACATTCAGTCAACCAAACCTTAAATCTGAGCACCATAAATGACAAGTATTAACTCACTCTAAAAGTTTATTGGTATTAGTAAAGGACAGAAAAAAATTAGTAGTCAAGAGACAGCCTCCCTACCCAAGCTCTAGAAGAGAAGACTACAGTTTGGAATTTCAAAAAAAAAAATATTTAAAGGAAATTTTTCTCTTTCTGGAAGGCTACTCCTATTCTCTCTTTAACTATTGCTATCCTGCTTTTATATCAGAAAAGATATTTCCAACATGTATATTCAACAAAGGACTCATATCTAGGAAATATACAAACAAACAAACAAAAAAACACCCACAGATGATCAGTAGAAAAATGTACAAAACCCTTGAATAAGCCCTTCACAAATGAAGGAATCCAAAGACCTGATGATTATGTGAAAAAGCCCTTAGCTTTATTATAAATCAAGAAAGTGAAAATTAAAATCACAAACGTACCAATATGGCTCAAGTTTAAAATATTGACAATATTGACTATTGGCAAATTTATGGAGCAGATGGAATTCATACATAGCTGGAAGGAGTGCAAATTGGTACTACCGATAGCTTTGCATCATCTGTTTAAGTTGAAAGAACACACATATCCTATGGTTTAATAATTTAATTCCTAGATATCTATTCAACAAAACTGTATTCCAGAAGATATATATATATATATATATATATATATATATATATATATTTACAAGAGTATTTATAGCAGCACTTTTCTTTTGTAATTGAATCACTGTTACATCTTTTTTTTAATTATTACTTTTATTTTTAAAATTTTATTGAGTATATTGGGGTGACATGGATTAATAAAATTATATAGGTTTCAGATGTACAATTTTTAATACATCATCTGTATATTGCATTGTGTATTCATTACCCCAAGTCAAGTCTCCTTCCAACAGCATTTATCCTCCCTTTACCCTCTTTTCTCCCCATAATCACCAAACTGTTGTTTGTCATCACATACATTTCTCTCTCTCTCTCTCTCTCTCTCTCTCTCTCTCTCGTTTTGCTTAATTTCTTCACTTTTTTCACCCAGCCCTGTAACCCCTCTTCCCTGGCTCTCTTCTTGCCTCCCAGTATTTTCCCTGTGACTCCCATTGGTGAAAAGTATCCTGAAACCAGAGGCAAAGAAGTCTGGAAACTGTCTCCTGAGATACAGAAGAAGGCAGAAGGTGAGGAATAAATGTGACAGCAGATACCCACGGGATTGGCTCAGCATTTCAAACCCAACCTGACCAAAAGCCACATACTGATGACCCCTCTCCAAGCTTTCTTCACCCAGTAATCTTCTATTTCACAGTTGGTGGGAATTTCAACCTTGCAATTACTCAGTCTAACCTTGTAATCATCTTTGAAGTCTCTTTTTATTTTGCATCCTATATCTAATGTGCTGGGAAATCATGCTGGTTTTACTCTCAGAATCAGACCCAAGAAATAAAGATGGAAAAACAGTAGACAAGCCAAAGCATAAACGTAAACAACAAATTGACTAGTGGCACAAGATACAAAGGTGACTTCACTTGGGTAGCATATAAAAGGCTTGAATATTCGCTTTAGCTTGGGATTTATAAATAGTAGCACTGATCACATCTTGGGCAAGGTATTTCTTTGTTGTGGGTGACCTGCGCATGATAGGATGTTTAGCAGTATCCTTGGCCTCTAACCAGTAGCAAACGCCCAAAGTTGTGACCACCAAAAATGTCTCCAAACGTTGTCAAATGTCCAGGGGAGGAGGACACCAACAGCTCTCCAATTGAGAATCACTGCTTTAGATGATGGGAATAGTAAGTAGGTTTTCTGAGCAACTAATTACAAACATTTTTTAAAAATTTTTGGTTGGTGTTTTTCTGTCAGCCGATCTGTCCCAGAACTACTCTTCGGTTGAGATGTTAAATGTTTCATATAATAGTCTTTTCCAGTTTTTTAAAAAGTATTATTAGTATTACTAGCAGCATAAGCACAACTTAGCCAGCAAATATTTTGTAACTTCTTTTGAATGAAATTAGTGATTTATCAGAAATATTTTCCCCTTTGGCAAGATATTTAAATTGCTGAATCATTTGGGATGATTTTATTACCATGAAACTTTTTGTGTAGTTTGATTTCTTTGATGATATTAGAGAAATAGAGTTAAATACTAGTGTCCATGTAATCACTTTTTAATAGTTTCTTATATAAAATTGAGGGGAGGCACACATCTAATATGAATTTGAAAATATTTTGTTTAGCACTGACTCCTCTTAAAACAAACAAACAAAAGACCACCTTTATATGTTTGTCTGGGAATCCTTCAAGGTCCTTAAAAAAAATGTCCAGGGGGTTATAAGGACAATAATTAGTGCTGCACCTAACAATCCCATCTGACAATGGCCTAAACCTGCCTCTACCACCACCCCCCACCACCCCCCTCTGGGCCCAGCAGCTCACAATCTGGCAGCCTGACTTTGGGCAGGTTTTGCAGAAAGAAAGAGAAGGAGGTCTCTACCCAGGATCTTCTGGGAGTGATGCACGTGGTCATAGTTATTTTAAAAATATAATTGTTTATGAAGAAAGCAGATCAAGCTTAGAATCAGGAGACTAGTCACAGGTTATAGCACAACCATCTGTGTGAACTTGGTGTCAAGTCTCCCTTCTTGTGTGTGTGTGTGTGTGTGTGTGTGTGTGTGTACACGTAAGCGCGCGCTGTTGTTGTTGATTTCAGCTCCAGGAGCGGGGGAGTTTACATTTCCCAGGAGAATCACCTGGGTTTAGCCTGTTTCTAACCTCAGGTGGGAGAGTTCATTGGAAAGAGATACAGTTCAAAGGAGAAAAATGAAAACGGTTTTAAGTTTTATGGCTGCGTCAGACAAATTCTCTTGGATCTGAAATAACTGAAGGACAGGATGCACTCAAATAAATCTTTAGCCAACAACAGGATCTTTAGCCGCCCTCTCCTTCCTCTTCCCCAGCGCCTCCTGAGAACGTGCAGCTCATTCCCAATTCATTCCGGAGCGCGTGCAGGTCCCCAGCGCGGACTCTCCGGGGAGCGCGGCTAAATAGCAAACAGATGCCCAACGCCCTAAGCCTCCCGCCCAGGGCACGCCTGCGGGATGAGTTCCAGCCGTTCCCCAGTGGGAAGGTTGGGCGCCGGACTGTCTTATTCTCTTTGCTTAAAAAAGGCCCGTTTTGCCCTAACTGGTTTTGCTCAGCCTGCAGACTGAAGAATCTCAGGTGTGATTCTGGTCAGGGGCACATGCCCAGGTAGCGGTCTCGGTCCCCCGTAGGGGGCGTGGAGGTAGCAGCCAACGTTTCTCTCTCTCTCTCTCCTTCTTCCTCTCCTTTCCTTTCTGAAATAAAATTTTTAAAAAATACATATTTTAAAAAAGGCCGTTTTCGAGAACAGGATTCCCTTTCCTCAGGCAAGGGAGCGGAGAGCCAGACCCGGCTCCACGACGGGCACCCACACCCTGGCGTTTGCTTCTCGCAGCGCCTCGTTAGGAGGTGAAGCCCCTCTCCTTCCTTCACCTGGAGATACTGATTCTTTTCTATTTTGTTTGTTTGTTTGTTTTTGTTTTTCGCCCCCCTCCTCCAACTCTCCTTCCAAAAAAGCTCATGGACGCCAGTCCTTGATTTCATCCCAACTGTATTCAGGAGGCGAATTTTGCGCCAGAGATTTGGCTCCGGAAGGCCTCACTTTGCAGCTGTCCCACGCAGGGTCATTTCGGGATGCACCCGAAGCTCCGGGTCCTGCCGTGCGGGTCCGGCTGGCGGCCGCAGGTGTGCGGCCGGCGGCTCCTCCCTGCGGTCCAGGAGTTCCAGGTGCGCTGTACCGTTACTTCCCGGCACCCGAACCGCTCCGTGACACACCCACCAGATCCCGAAAATCCAAATATTCCCGCCAGAAGTGTCTGCATTCCAGTTTGTTCTGACCGTCCTCGCCTGGCACCGACCCTGGAAGCCTCTTGGGCGCGGTTTCTCCTTAGGTCCCGGAGGGGCGCCGGATCAGCCTCTTCCCAAAGACTTGGAGGGAGGGGCGGGGTGTAGGCAGGGACCTGGATCTGATTAGGTGGGAGGGGGAAGCCGAGGTCCCAATCGCTCTCTCCTGTCTCCCAAACTCTCAGGGAGGAGGAGGGGGAAAAGGAGGGGGAGGAGGAGGGAAGGTACTAGAGAGGGGGTCCCTCCCCTGAGCACCCGGCCCCGGGGTTCTGAGCCGTCGCCGCCTCCGGGCTCTCCCCTCATCCCAGCTAGCTAGCGGTCTTGGCCATGGGACCCCGTTCGGGCTCCGGCTTCTTCGTGAGCCGCACGGCGGCCCTGCTGCTGGCCGGGCTGGCGGCCGCGCTGCTGCTGGCACTGGCCGTGCTGGCCGCCCTGTACGGCCGCTGCGCGCGCGGCGCGCCCTCGGAGCTCGGCCGCTGCGGGGTCCCCGACGCCGGGAAGCCCAACGCCACTCCCGAGCCGGAGGTGGTGACGGTCACCCCGGACGCGCGGCGGCCCTCGGGGCCCTGGGACCGGCTGCGCCTGCCGCCCGGGCTCGTGCCGCTGCACTACGAGCTGGAGCTGTGGCCCCGGCTGCGGCCGGACGAGCTGTCCCCGCCGGCGCTGCGCTTCTCCGGCCGCGTGAACATCACGGTGCGCTGCTCCCAGGCCACGGCGCGGCTGCTGCTGCACAGCCTCCTGCTGGGCTGTGACGGCGCCGAGGTGCGCGGCCCCTTGTCCCCCCCGGGGGCCGGGGGCGCCGCCGCCGCCGCCGGGGGCCGCGTGCCGGTGGACAAGGTGTGGCTCGCGGAGGACACGCAGTACCTGGTGTTGGAGCTCGGCGAGGCCCTGCAGCCCGGGAGCCTCTACGAGCTGCAGCTCAGCTTTTCGGGGCCCGTGTACCAGGACGCTAGGGAGGGGCTCTTCGTCAACCTCTACACGGACCAGGGTGAGCGCAGGTAAGGGCAGCACGCGACCCGGGTGCTCCAGGTTCGGTCCGCGCGCGGACCAGCCGTTTGCTGTGACACTTGGGAGCTTGTTCAAAACGCGGACTCGCCGAAACTGGTTTGGTCAGTGGAGATAGAGCGTCTGCCTGAGGACTGAAGGGTCCCGGTTCGATTCCGGTCAGGGGCATCAGGGCCATGTATATTGGTTGCGGTCACATCCCCAGTAGGGGGTGTACAAAAGGCAGCAGATGGATGATTCTCTCTCATCGATATTTCTGGCTCTCTGTTCCTCTCTGTAAAAAATCAATAAAATATAATTAAAAAAAATAAAACGCCGACTCGTCGGCCCCACTCTCAATATAAGAGCTCAGAACCTGCGTTTTAACGGGGGATCCGCAGGTGATGGAGGAGGAGAAGCGGGGGATGGGGGGCGGAGGGCGCTGTCTCACCGGCAGTCTGGCCACAGCGCCTTTCCCGGAGCTGCTCCGCGCTCAGATCCCTCCCCGCGTTGCCTCTTTACCTCTGCGATTTTAACTGTGGCTCTTGCGGCTCACGTCGTGGTCGTCGGAGCTGTTTGTTCTCTCTTTTTTTCTTTCTTCTTTTTTTGCTAGGGTTCTTGAAACCTTCGGAATGCCCTTTCATCCTCTCCTTCCCCCCCTCCCCCCACCTCCCGCCCCTGCCTGAGACCCGAGTCTGGTTTTGCAGCCGCATCCCCCTACCCTACTCAGCCCTTTGAACAGCGCTGCCAAGGGCCGGTGCCTGCGCTTTAGGGATTCCTCTGCTGGAAAAAATAAAGAAAAGCGACGACAGGCCGCCCCTCTGAGTTTTGCAAGCCCGCGTAGTGTACATATGTTCTTTGTACAGTCGTTGGAGATAATGTCTCCCACACGGAATGTTTCCGCCTCAAGGAATTGCCTATTGCTAACTGCCTGGGACCGCATTACTTGACCTCTGGCGAGCGAACCTGGGGGATGAATGGTTGAGGTGGAAGATATATATATATATATATATATATATATATATATATATATATATATATATATATATATATATATATTTTTTTTTTTTTTTTTTTTTTTTTTCCAAATCGGGGCGATCTCCTTCACTCACGCACTGGTGGGGAGCATTTGCGGTTTACACAACTGCATGTAGTTTACCCTTTATTATTAGAGAAAATGTTCTCAGATGTTCTCTCTGGGAAAAAAACGCACTAGATTGCCCCTTGAAATCATCTCCTGCACTATTTTCAAAACTTCAGGTGTTTTTTTTTTTTTTTTAAAAATAAGTTTAGTAAGCCGCCTTAGTGGGTGTGTGACGTTTGTTTTTAAGGACAACATGCCTGGTTGTTCTCTTTCAAAAATGGAAAGATTGTTTTTGAAAGGTTTCACATGAGAGTGATTAGTATCTGGAGTGTGAGCATTGGGAACCGTTTGAATGAACTGTGCGTAGCTCAGGAGGCAAGCTTTTTGAGAGAGAAAAAAACATAGTGTTTCCTGCTGTCAATAAGTATTTCATCTCTTCGCCCATCTCTGTTTCCTCAGTGGGAAGTCTTAAAGGGGCTCCGGCCCAGAGGCTCCGCTCTAGCAAACATGGGAAAGTCCCCTTTCTTATTGTGCTGCCAACCAGCTGTAACTAGAAACCGTATTTTGAGAACATTAAAATTCAAACAGGCAGAAATCTCAATAAAGTTTTACAGATGTTCAGAGACCAAGGTGGCGCTCCAGATTTGCTGCATCTTACAGGAGCTGTTGCCTCGAACTTGTCTTCAGGGTCTCTGTTTCTGAAGCCACAAGGATATGAAACTTGCAGTTGAGCTTGAAGCCAAGGTAACCAAGAACCTACACCAAGTGATGCCTTATGGGGAGGCAGATGTTGGAAACCCAGCTGGCACAGTTTGAACCCGAGTCTCTGCCTCTCTGAGTGCGCTGCCTCCTTCATGGAATACACATACTAAGTGAGAGTGTTGTGAGAATTTAACGAGAAAGAGGGAGACTGTGCAATGGTAGCTACTATCGTTAACTGGGGATACCATTGTTAGGTATCCCTCCTGCTATCTGAACATGGAATCTGCCGTGTTCCTGTGACATATGAGTGCAAGAAGATTTTCACATGGGAGGAAACTGCCCACTGATTTCGCATTTTCCTTAGGGTGTGCATAATTACGATTGTAGCAGCCAGAGCATGGTTACCTCTCTTCTTTGGAGGTCCTTTATCACCAAGGTTAATATTAGAAGGCTAATGTTTTTAAATATTACTTTTACTCAACGCTAATGGAGAAGAGAAAGAAAGTCATTCCAGAAAATGATTTTCAAAGAGCACCACTCTCTCTCACGTCTAATGTTTAGAGGTTTCGGGGGATGCTTCCGACCTGTTCTTGGCCTTTTTCCACTTGGCAGGTACCATCACATTTCTGCCATATAGGAGCCACCCTCTGGATGCCTTGGGTTTGTGATTCTATGTGTCAGTATCTGGTTTCCTCCTTCTATGTGTAGAAAGTTGAGAGCAAGATCAAAACGTGGATGTTCTGGCTGGCGAGTGTGCCACAGTGATTGAGCATTGACTTATAAACCAGAAGGTCATGGTTCAATTCCGGGTCAGGGCACATGCCTGTGTTGCAGGCTTGATTCCCAGTAGGGGGCAGCTGATCAATGATTCTCTTTCATCATTGATGTTTCTATCTCCTCCCTTTCTCCCTGAAATCAATAAAAAAAAATTTTAAAAAATGTTAATGTCCCTTCAAAGTAGTATTTCCCAAACTTCATTCACTAGCATACTACTATTTAAGGTTATGTCATGTTTATATATCTCTAGCCATATTATTTTCTTTAAAAAGTTACTTATTTAAACAAAAATATTAACTAGATTTATTAAAAAGCTCTACATCATTGTCATAAATGGAAAGCCATTTGTAATGTATAGACTGCAATGGCACAGACTAACATAATAAAAACAATACTGATAAATTGTACCTATTATTATTGCCTACTGAAGGATCTGAGAGCTGCTCCCTCTTTGTTAAAAAAAGGAAAATTGGAATTAGATGTTTAAAATAAATAATACCAAACAAAGACTTTCTCTTGATTCAATCAAGATGATTCATAAAATTGGAAAAGGACAGTTATGTGTGAGTCAAATCTATATCATTGTGCATCTGAGGGCTACTGAAAATATTTCTTCATGTTTACTTTGAGAGATCCTAATTAGAGTAGTGGTTCACAAACATTTAATGTGCACCAGAACCATCAGGGGAGCTTATTAAAATTCAGATTCTTGGGGAATATCCTCAAAATTTCCAGATCAGTGCAATCAAGTTGATAGCAATATTAAGATGGAAGCAACCCAATGTCCATTGATGAATGAATGTATTATTCAGCCTTTAAAAGGAAGAAACTTCTGAAATATGCTATCGATACAATATGAAGGAACCTTGAAGACATCATATAAGGTACTTAAAGTAGTCAAATTCAGAAAGTAGACAGAAAGTAAAATTGTGGTTGCTAAGGGCTGGGGAAGTGGGGAGTTGTTTAATGAGGGGCATTGTGGTTTCCAGTTTTGGGCTATTATAAATAAAGAGTCTATGAGCAATTGTGTATAAGTTTTTGTGTGGTCGTGATTTTTTGTTTTCCTGGAATAAAGGCCCAGGAGTGCAATGGCTGGGTCATAATGGTAGTTGCATGTTTCATTTTTAAAAAACTGCCGAACTGTTTCCCAAAGTGTCTATGCCACTTCACAGTCCCACCAGCAATGTATGAAGGATAGTTTCTTTGTATCTTGGTCACCATTAGGTATTGGCACTGTAGAGAGATTGAAAGAGAAAGGGAAACATCAATGTGAGAGAAACACATTGATTGGTTGCCTCCTACAAGGCCCTGACCATGGCCTGGGCCAGGGAAGAGGTACATGGTTGCGGGCACATCCCCAGATGAGGGTGTGCAAGAGGCAGCTGATTGATGATTCTCTCTCATCGATGTTTCTAACTCTCTGTCCCTCTCTCTTCCTCTATGTTGTTGTCCCCCCCCCCCATAATGAATGAATATTGGTTTTATCTAACATCTTTTTCTGCATCAGTTGATATAGAATCATGTAATTTTTCTTCTTTTGTCAATTATTATAGTGTATGGTTTTAATTGGTTTTTTGAATACTGAATCAGTCTTTGTGTCCTCTCAGTTTTCTATAAGAGCAGTTGCTATATAGTAAGAGAGAGTAGTAGAAATCCTTCCAATGGGGGAGGAAGACTATGAAGAGAGAGAGAAGGAGAAATGGACAAAACAAGTGTCTTTAATTTTCACTCTCTTTCTTCTGACTGGGTGTGACCCTGAGACAAATTTTTTTGTGAAAGTAATTTCTTATGAAATGTCCCTAGGAAAAAACCAATGGGCGAATGGGAAAGTATGACTGGGAAGAGACTGAGGCCAACACAGGATATGAGAGCAATCAAAGTTCCTTGGAGCATAGTTCTGGACCGTGTGAGCCACACCTCAAAACTGTCCCCTATCAACACAGAGCGGTCATTGTTCTTATGCTGAGATCTCCCTCATGGCAGGGCTGATGGGCAGCCATATATGAGCTTCCTTTAGCTCCCACTGTGACTCTACCCTAGTGATTCCCTGAGACCACGCCCCACTAAATTTTCAGCCCCACCCAAGCAGTTTGCAGCAGCTTTTCCTGGCTTAGGCTTCAGACTTTCCTAAAATCTCTCAATTAAGCAGCAGCTGGTGTCAGTATGCTCCATACTTATCAGTAACAGGCCCAAGACTCAGCACTAGCACCAGCCTGTCTTGCTTCACAGCTTGGCCTTACCTGGGCATTTCTAAGCTCAATACAAGTAGCAGCTATCTGCAGCTAGCTCTGTAGCTTCTGCTGGATGGCCTCAGGTGATGGCTGACTTTGCATCACCTGGAAGTTCCCAGAGCCAGTGGAACACTTCAGAGAATACCAGATTATAACTCTTCACATCCACTAGTGACACACTTAAGAGGCAGATTGCCAGAAGCCAGTTCCAGCATGTCAT